ATTGTTGTTGTTGAATTTAAAATCTCATGAGAGTTGGATTATTATAATACGTGTGTTGAGTACATACATTTGGAGGTTTTGTCCTTGGTCATCGGTAGAGGATGACATTATTGTGTTGAATAGTTTGTGTATACATGACACTTGTATTAGTTGTACTTTGTCATGTTGTGATGATTAGTTGCGTATACTGCGCTGAGAATGAGAGGTACCATTACCTTCCAACTAGCACCAGGAGAATTGGCTGCACTTAGAATGAGAGGTACCAGTACCTTCCAGCTAGCACCTAGAGAACTTGGCAGAGATGCCATTACCTTCCAATCGATGTCTGTAAATTGGTATTTTGTTATGGAAAGGTGTATCTTTGGCTTACTGTGCTTAGGGCCCCCAAACATTTTTCTTTTTTTATTATTATTATTATCTTAGTGTACCTGTTTATATCATGCGTTATGATAGTTATGGTTCAAGAAGGCGAAGTTGTCTTATTAAGTTGAGTAAATAGTTATCGGGTGCTTATTGTTGTAACAACCTCGGCCTATGATTAGCCGATAAACCATGATGAATTATGTCTAATGAGTAATTAAAATGAAATTTTGAATTAATTACATGTGTATGGCATTATTTGTGTTTATATACGTCTACTGTAGAAATATATGTTTATATTTTTTTTTTGTTCTACGAATTGAAGGCCTAATCGTTGTCCGATCAAGAAATTGACTTGATTTATATGTTATTTGAAATTTTTTAAATTTTATGGTAGGTAGGATTAAAATTTGATTTGGAACGAATTAAATTAGAATAATTAATGTCACTTAATTAGTCATTGATGAAATCTCCTAATCAAGCCTATATAAGGCACAAGTAAGCCCGTGATTTCATTTTACACTCTCATTCCCTCATTCTTGAGCTCAAAAACGTGGGAGAGAGAAAGAGAAAGAAGAAAATTGAGATCAAAAGCTAGAAAAAGGAGAGTTGTTAGAAATTGTTGGAGAATTGCAAATAATTTGGGAGTTCAAGCTTCTACACTTGTGAATTTAAGACTCTAGGTAAGAATTTTGTCCTTAAGCTTTGTAATCAAGACTTTAATACGTGAATTCTAGAGAATTAAGCTAAGTTATGCAAGAATTGAGCTAATGAATTAGAAATGAGGGTCATTCCATGCATGCATGCATAATTCATGGATTTTGAGTTTTAATTCCACCAATTTCATACATGCAAGAGCTTATCTTTGTTAGATTATAAGAACTCACCATGGTTTTATACTCAAACACTTCATTTGTACATGTTTTGGAATGTTTGATTTCTTGACAACACATGCATGATATGTATACATAAGTTCAAGTTTGGTTTCGAAGAATTTACTCGCTTTTGGGCCTTGATTTTGTGTATTGAACCTTAATTCATCATGTCTTATAAGTTTACAAGTGTTTTCTCAAGTTTTGAGGCCTAAAGGTTGTGTTTTGCAACTTTGGATTTGAGTTTTGGACTTAGAACATCAATCTGGAACTTAGTATATCTGTTATCTATTACCTGTACCAGAGGCTCAATTATGGAGCTCAGCATATCTGTCATCTGTTACTCGGATTTGGAGGTTCCTTTATGGAACTGGTTACTCATAACCATCATCTGTTCTGCATACTTTAATGGATGTACTACATATGATTAAGCATGAACACTGTTTTCTATATATGATTTGAACAAGAATATGAATATGGATATGCTTCTGTTTTTGAAATATATATGAATCTTTTCTGAATCTAAATTCTGATTTTTGAATTTGGTATGGGCATCATTCATTAAAACCCTTTGCTCTGTTATTATTCACTGGGCTTTCGCTCGCTCTATTATTTATATATGTGGGTGACCAGTCTCAAAGTTGATGACCTAGAGTTTTGGTTTGTCAGCCGGCCTTTGCGCCTCCCGAGGAGGTTCTGAATGTCATGTGGTCATGTTTTGTGAACATATATAAGACTTTGTTTTATTTCTAGAATATGTACAAGTTTTCTGTTTATCGGTATAATGGGTTAAGTCCCCTTTTGGCTATATCTATAATGAATATGACGTAAGACTACTGTATTTATGACATCACGTATATGTATATAAAGTTTTAAAATTTTTGTCCCATATATGTCCACACAGCTCATTGAACTATGTATGTTTCTATATTTGCTTCCGCTAGCCCCTTATAATTTGCAAATCAGGTCGAAAGCCTTCGGTAATCCGAGGATTACTGGCTGGTTACGACACTAAACCTGTAGGGGCGGGTTTGGGTCGTAACAATTGTTTTTGTTTTTCATGTTAGATGTACATTTGTATATTTGAATGTGTTGGAAAATGATGTAGACCATGTGTTGAGTTCATAAATAATGTAAAGGAAATCAGAGATTTATGAACATGTTTCAAACTCCAAAACAAAATGGTTGTTATAAGATATATTTGAAATGGGAAATGAAAAGGAAATGTGAACTGTCTGTGCTATTGAAGAAATTGAATAATTTTGGAAAAACTACTTATGTAAATATTCTTTGGTTATAAACCATCACATTATTTATATGGTATGAGACTAAGCATTCATGATCATAGCTATCTGTATGTTGTTACTGTTCAGGATCATGGTGAGATCCCTACTGTACTTTATGTTCATCCCACGTTACTAATCCTTTTTCAGGTGAACATCAAGAAGTATTTCAAGGTCATGGATCTGTTTTATCTGTTGGCCACGGGGCCTTTTATTTGTGGGCGGAATGTCATTGATGTAAAAGTGTTAAACCCTTTCTCTTAATTTAAAAGATGTAAGCCTACGGGCAATTTATTTAATTATAACTCCTGTTACATTCATATTGTATTCGGATGAGAGAATCTTTATTTATGTGTTCTTGTAAATATAAAGAGTTTCCGCATGTTATCTCTGAAATTGAATCTATAATAATGGTTTGGTAATGGGATCTGAGTAATAAAAAGCAGGGCGTGACAAATTGGTATCATAGCGAGCGGGTTTGAATACTTTGGACTCCTGGGAAGTGGTTTTTACCACGATGGGTCTACTACGTGTGGTGAGGACGTTGCATATAGTTAGCATAAGTGTTAGGACTTATATGTTGCATTTATGTGAGCATGGGATTAAGTTTCTTGGATAATACTTATAGCCGGTGAACTTACTTTGAGGTCTTATTAGAAACACGCTTGATCAATGTGGTTTCTGATAGAAATTCCTTGAGAGTTCTGGGATGAGTGACCATCTTTGTGGACTTGATTCAATTATGTGTTTAAGTATTTAGTTGTTTAGATGTAATAGAAATGCGTGTTTCGGGGCTAAGTGTGTCTTGTAACTTAAGGGTGGTGAGTGTGTGCCTCGAGGAAGGTTGTTATGTTGTACACCAAGTTTGGTTTTGTTTTTGGGTTTTATATGATGTCTACACGAGCGAATAGAGGATGGATGGGCAGTAGGAGTGCCGGTAGGGGCATAACAGTTCCTTTAACACTTGTCGTCGCAACATCAGTTGTCGGCGAGGAATTTGCACACGAGATTGTGAGAGCATAATGAGAGTGACAACGGGCATGCCCTCAAGTTTACCAAGGATTTTCTTCGTTCCAATCCACCGGAGTTTGTGGGAGGAGGCTAAACCGTTGGAGGCAAAGGATTGGTTGAAGCAGATTACCAAGACTCTTGATATGCTTAGAGTCGAGGATGAGGAGTTAAGGATTTTTTTGGTGAGTATCCAACTAAGGGGTAACGCAGGGTATTGGTGGAAGTATGCTAAGAATACCGTAGGTAACATGTGGGTTGCTTTTATCGAGACCTTTTTGGCCAAGTATTTCCCTCATTATGCTTGAGAAAGGTTTAGGGAAGAGTTAGTTGAGTTGCGTCAGGATGCTATTCCTTTGGCACAATTTGAGATGCGGTTTATTAGTTTGTCGAGGTTTGTTCCAGAGTTGGTAGCAATAGAGGAGCGTCGTTGTTATGAGTTTGAGGACACTCACCATGTGAGATTTGTTTATCCTCGACTCTGAGCATATCAAGAGTCTTTGGCGAGCATATCAAGAGTCTTTGGTGAGTTTCCATTTGATCATTCATTTGATAAAAAATTTTGTATCTCTAACATTGTCTAAAGACGTAACGTTCAAAGTATTGTATTGTAGAATTTGTCACTCCAATCTTTACATTGTCAAGATCGAGTGGGGCATCACCAATTATCCTTCCCTTCCTTGGTAACCATTCCCTGCATCTTTTTCTCCATCACTATTACAAAAACAGATAAAGATCACACTTTTTTTGTGTGATGTGTGTTATTTAATCACACCTTTTTAGTTTTATTAAAGTGTGATATTTGGAAGTGTGATTAAAAGGGGTCATTTTTAATCACACCTTTTAAGTGTGATTAAAAACATTTAGATCACACCTTTTAAGTGTGATTGATAAGATTTAGATCACACCCTTTAAGTGTGATTAAAAACATTTAGATCACACATTTTAAATGTGATTAATAACATTTAGATCACACCTTTTAAGTGTGATTGATAATATTTAGATTACACATTTTAAGTGTGATTAATAATATTTAGATCACACATTTTAAGTGTGATTAAAAATATTTAGATCACACATTTTAAGTGTGATTAAAAATATTTAGATTACATCTTTTAAGTGTGATTAATAACTAATAAAACTTGTGATAATAAACATTTAGATCACAGATTTTAAGTGTGATTAATATCTAATAAAACACGTGATTAATAATCAGATAAGATCACATGTTATATGCATTTGAAGAATGTAATACACACTATATGCTATATTTTGAATCACAACCATATATTGAATGGAATAACGTCATATATTTCATAAATGAAAGTTAAATGTTCAAAAAGTATATACAAAGGAATTAGTAAAAAGTTTTTAACTGTGCTTACATATATTAAAAAATAAAAAAAACTTGAAAAAACTAAGTTGTTGAATTCTTTGACCATATTTTGCATTTCTCCAAGAAATTTCTGACCTGAAAAATAAAAACACAAATTAATTCAGAAACCGCTAGAAGCATATGAATAAACTTAATACTTTTGTAGAGACTTACAAAAGACAAAATCGAACCTTTTCTCATCACACTAACTCTTCATATCTTGCATCAATAGAAAAGGAATAAGAACTTTGATTGTTACTAATATAAAATGTTTGGATTACCATATATAAATATGACATATACATAGAATCAATAAATCCAAAATGAAAATCTTCAATGTGTGAGCAGATATTTTAAAGTTATAAAACCAAATATACATAGAATCAACAAATCCAAAATGAAATCTTGAAGTGATTATATTCTTTACCAACTAAAGAAATTGTTGATTAGTAATTTAAAGAACGAAAGTTATATCATACTTACATTGGATTTCAACTCATATTCTTTAGTACGAAATTAATACATTCAACTCGCACTTTATCAATTTTGGTTTCCGTACAAGTCTTTTTTCCATTGAACTGCAAGAAGTTATTTACAAACAATTAGATAATGAAGAAGATGTACAAGTATCATAAATATAATAGGAATAAAAGTTTAGAATTTAACTCACATTTTGTTTTCTTAGGATGCTTTGATCTCTAATGAGGTCTTTCATATACCGCATTACATAAAACCCACATTCCACGTTTGTAGGTTGTTGCAGGGACTACATAAAAGCATTTTCATTATTATTAGAAACTATATATAAAGTGTTATAATCAAGCTGAACGATCATTAGCATAATATAAGTATGATAAAATTAGAGAAAATGATATTGATTACCTGAACTACTTTCCAAACTGGATTGGTCCTCCTCCTCCTTTGGGTAGTTTCATAAATTTCAAAACACTTTACAAAAGAAATTCCAAATGTCAAAATATTTTTAGAGTAACTCAAATTGCTTTAAAATGTACGAACTAGCCAAACTTAAGTGTTTATTACAATTTCAAAGCTTGTGTTTCTTTTAGAATTAATCGGATCAAGTAAGTACACAATCATCAATGTTAGATCAATGACTAACAATATCCAATGGTACCTACAATTGAACAAGTCACAAGTATAAGCTTAATAAGTTTATTATCATTTGAACAGATGAAATAAATAGTTTTTGATAATTACCCAATATCTAAAACTATTTATTTCAACAGCATGATTGAACAGTATATATAAACACATATTTAGTAAATCATAGCCTTGAAAAGATTTTATCAAAAAATTATTATAGCAACACATCAACAGAGAGAGTAAACTAAACTAAATCCTAACAAAAATTAAAACTCAGATCAAGGTAGAGAAAGAAGAGCAATTAATATACCAAGTCAAGATGGGTCAACTTCGAAAGAACAAACAAATGAACAATCCCCCACAGTTCCAGTATTTGAGTATTGAACAATTCCACCAAAATTTTAACAATTATGTGCTGGTGTATCTGTTTTTAGATAAGAAAAAAATATAAATAGAGAGTGGATAGAAAAACAAGAAAGAGATGAAATGATGAAAAAGAAAATAAGAAGAAAATAGCACAACAGAGAACAAGTTTAAAGAAGGGAAAGCCTAGAATAGTTATGGGAAATTATAAATAAATTAGAGGGGGAAAAGGGTTGAAAGCAATTGCAAAAATATGAGATTTGCAAGTCAGAACTGACTAGAGGCGTTCATAGATCAAATTGCTATTAGTGAAAATCAAATGATGCCAAAGGCAAAATATAAAAATTACAAAATATTTATTTATCATATAAGAGATGATATGTCATTTGTTAAATTTCTCATACTCTCTGAAATATTTTCTAAACAATAATAATATGATGATCATATTTTCATATCATGTAACGTGTCACTTGTTAAGATTTTATATTGACTCTTTATAATATTCTGTGTTTTTAGAATAAGATGATCATATTTTCACCTTTTTCTTTGAATGAATGATCTTGGTTCTTCAAACATTCTTAGAATTGGGTTTTGTTTTTTGTAGGTTGGTCTTGAAGCAAATCAAAGATGGGTGGATCAAATGAGAACAATGGACCTGCTGCCATTAAACCCTCAGACTCTCAAGGTAAGATTCAGTACGAACATGAAATTTCCTCACTCTTCTTTCCAATCTCTGATCAAGTAGTCTAGATCGAACACAATCCATTTAGCTGTAATTTTGTAAGAATTTTCTTGTTCTTTCTCTCTGAATTCAAAAGAAGGTTCAAGAATGGTGGGATTTCAGAGGTTTCAACAGCAGAAGTTAAATAACCGCAGAAGGGCTCTCAGCAATATAAATCATAATATTTTAGGACCTACCAACTACCCTTATGTAATTAAATCCCTATATGCAACATTTTTCTTATGTATGCTATGGAGAAAACTTTACCTTTTCAATTACGAGGAAGAAATGTGAATACATGAAAGGAATCCACCAAACCACCTTGGAAGAACAGGGGTTATCAACCCACCATTAATTGCCACAGCAACTGCAATATTTATACTGCTATTATAAGTAAAACTCTTCCCATCTTTACATGTAGTATTCACAACTGGGTGCTGAGCAAGTGCCATGGCCGTAGCCTTAGCTAACAATGCAGTCATAGCCACACAATGAAAATATTTATGAACAAATCTAACAAATGTTCACTAAACACAAGAAATATAAAAATATATCAGTTTTTTTATTTTATGTTTCTTCTTAAAATATATCAGTTTTATGTTTCTACTACAGTCTACAACAGTAAAAAGAGGGCAAAGTCAAATAACAGGGGTCATTTTACATTATCTTTTTTTTTTTTTTTTAAGATGACTACAGATAAAGGCTCTAGACGCAACTTGCATGAAATTCCAGTGGCTGTGGGGAAAAAAATATAAAAAAATAAAATATATATATCAGCAAAAAAAAATAGAGTTCAAGAAAAAGGAAGAAGAAATCTGGACAAAACAGAAATCTGGAATGAATAAAAAATCTGGACAAGATCAATTTGTTCTCGATTTGCTGCCAATGAGGAGTACAAAAATCTGGAAAAAAAAATGAAAAAAGAGGAAACAGAAATCTGGACAGAACAGAAATCTGGAAAAAAAAAATGAAAATTGATGTCTTCATTCTTCGTTTGCTGCGAAGAAACAGAAAAAAAAAATCTGGAAAAAATATAAAAGAAGTGGAAGAATCGAAGAACAAAGAGATCGAAGATGGACAGAACAAAGAAAATGAAGAAGAAGAGGAGGAAGAATTGAAGATGAACTTACCGGAATGTGATCTTTGAAGGAGAGAATCGATTAGCACTTTCAATTGAACCTCTTCGATAGCTTCACAGGAAGGAGTTCTTCAACTCTTGGGAGTCTCTCCGTGTTTCAAGAAAAAGAGAGAGACAATTAAATAGAGTAGAACCGTAATTTTTTGTTTCATGTTTTGTTTATTACAAAAGTACCCCAAATTTGTATCATTATTTTAAACAGACCAAAAAACTTGCTCCGGTACCCTTTAATTTGTAAAAACTCTCGTTTTGTACCCCGAAGTACCAAAAAAAGTACCCGTAGCATGTCCATCACGTACCCATCATTATACTAATCATATAAAATGTATCCGGTGCGTTTTTTGGCGTACTCGGTATGCGTGCAACCGTACCGGTATATGTACCCGCACCCGGTAAATAATTGGTACTTGTACGGCAATATTTTTGGAGTACCTGTGCTTCATATCCACCCGAAGACCCTTATTCACAATGAAAACCTATAACTATAAAATTCCACTAATAATAATCATAATCATAATATATACACACAAAAGAGGCATAAAAAACAGAGAACTCACCAGAAATTTCAAGAGGTTTGTTATTTCAAAAGACAAATTTGAATGAGTAACGTCAATGGTGGTTCGGAGCTGTGAGTAACTTCAATGGTGGTTCGGAGGTGTGATGAAGAAAACAAAATAGGGCTTCGTTTCATAAATAGAAGGCAAGGAGAAGGAGAAAAGACCTGTGTGTTTGTGAAGTTCAATCTTACTGGGAATGGAAGAGTCGTCCTCTCATTTATGGGTAGAATAAAGGCACGAATTTGTGTATAGTATATTTTATATAAAAATCAAATTGAAATGTTTTATACAATCACACTATTTAGAGAGTGTGATTAAAATATATATATATATATATATATAATCACACTTAATTGAAAAGTGGCATAAAAAATAAATATTATCACACTCAATTTAATTGAGTGTGATTAAAACATCAATCTAATTTTTTTTATCACACCTCTAATAAAAGTGAGATAGTTTTTTTTTTTGTCAAAGTATGATCTTTAACTATTTTTGTAGTAGTGGATATTTTTATTTACCATGGCTTGCATTTACTGTATGTCGTTAATGTGAATCCATGAAACCCCAGTTTTGTTGTAGTGGAGAGAATAGACCTCTGTGTTTGTGAATTCAACCTTGTTGGGGATGGAAAGATTCGTCCTCTGTCATTCATGGGTGTAGAATAGAGGCGCAAATTTGGGAATTGTATATTTTATATAAAAATCAAATTGGAATATTTTATACAATCACACCTATTTAGGGAGTGTGATTAAAAAGTAGTAATGTATATGTAATCACACTTTAATTAAAATGTGTGATTAAAAAATATATAAATAATCATAATTTAATTAGAATGTGTGATTAAAAAATATATATATATAATCACACTCATTTAAAAAAGTATGATTAAAAAGTAGTAATGTATATATAATCACACTTTAATTATAATGTGTGATTAAAAAATATATTTATAATTACACTTATTTAAAAAGTGTGATTAAAAAGTAGCAGTATATATATAATCACACATTCTAATTAAAATGTGATTAAAAAATGTATATATAATCACACTTTAATTGGAATGTGTGATTAAAAACATATTTATAATCACACTTATTTCAAAAGTGTGATTAAAAAGTAGTAGTGTATATATAATCACGTTTTAATTAGAAAGTGTGATTAAAAAATATATAAACAATCACACTTTAATTAGAATGTGTGATTAAAAAATATATTTATAATCACACTTATTTAAAAAGTGTGATTAAAAAGTAGTAGTGTATATATAATCACACTTTAATTAGAACATGTGATTAAAAAAATAGATATAATCACACTTAATTGAAAAGTGACATAAAAAATAAATATTATCACACTCAATCAAATTAAGTGTGATAAAAATATTAATCTAATTTTTTTTATCACACTTCCAAAAAAAGTGAGATATTTTTTTTTTCTCAAAGTGTGATCTTTAACTATTTTTGTAGTAGTGCATCTACCCACACAAATGAGACTTTTAAATTTTAATTTTTTTTAATATAAAATTTTATTTTTCATTTTATTTTTTGTTTGCTTTTTCAGATGAAAATTTACTAATTAAATCTTTACATTCAAGTCTTTGTAATATATCATTTTCAATTGATAGTATGATTAATCTACTAAATATTTTTTTCCAACACGGTTGATCTTTAATTAATTTTAATTTTGGACTTTTTTTTCTTTTTTTCTTTTATTCTTTTTATAAAAATAACTATCATAGATACTGTGAATAATATAGCATAAGTAATGCATGCAATATAACCTTTTACATGATTTATTACGCCAATTGGAATGCCTCTTTTGTAGATGATAAAATTCTTACCACTTAATTGACGTAGTCTGATATTTGAGTACACTTGAAAATTATAACTGCTTAATTTATACAATCTGATATGTATCAATTGAATTGGTGAATGTAGGCATGAAATTGTGGGTGTAGTGATAGAAGTAGGTAGGAAGGTGCACAAATTTAAAGTTAGTGACAAAGTTGGAGTGGGGTGTCTTGTTGGATCATGTCACTCTTGTGACAATTGTGCTAACGATCTTGAAAACTAATATCCCAAAAATGTATTCACCTACAATTCTATCTACTATGATGGAAACCCCACCTATATGGAGGTTATTCGAATACCATGGTGGCTAATGAGCACTTTGTGATTCGCATTCCTGATAACCTTCCTCTTGATGCTTGTGCTCCTCTTCTCTGCACTGGGATCACAACTTACAGTCCCCTAAGACACTTTGGACCTAACAAGCTTGGTATGCGTGTCAGTATAGTTGGTCTCGGTGGCCTTGGCCATACAGCTGTAAAATTTGCCAAGGCTTTTGGTGTTAAAGTAATAGTGATTAGTACCTCTCCTGGCAAAAAGAAAGAAGCTATTGAACAGTTTCGTGTAGATTCATTTTTGGTCAATTGTGACCCAGATCAGATGCAGGTAACAGATTTTTTGTTTTAGTCATATTAACAACCTCTCCAAAAAAAAAAGGATAAAATTCTCGATGTATACTAAATGAGATTCTTGGTCACTTTTTATTCTATTTTTTACGATTCTTGTTATGATTAAAAGTTAATAGGTAATTATAATTAGGTGATTATTTTCTTTTTGTTTTGTTTTGTTGAATTTAAATAGGTTGCTATGGGCACAATGGACGGTATCATTGACCCTCTTCTACCATTGATAGGTTTGTTGAAATCTCATGGAAAACTTATCTTGGTTGGTGCACCAGAGAAGCCACTTGAGCTTCCAGTCTTTCCTCTGCTCATGGGTAAGCATTCAACGTAACTAATTGGTTTTGAGGAATGTGGGTAGAAATAACAATTCTATGTACACAAAATCTAACCATAGAAAAATACTATGTGAGTATTTGTTGTAATTTTTTGTGTTAGAATTTCTTGTACCTAACTTTTCTTGAGCATAAATATATTGAAAGGCTTAATCGATGCCTCAATTTCTACGATTTCATGCCCATGTTTTCAGTCTCTTTAATCTTTATTAGTTCTTCAAATCGCGAATGATATGTAATAACACATAATGTTTCAATGGTAGGGAGAAAGATAATGGCTGGAAGTTGCATTAAAGACATGAAGAAGACACAAGAGATGATAGATTAATGGATTACGTCACTACAAGAAATGTGTTTTGGTGGCGTACTTTTAACGGCGTTTTTTAAAGTGTCACTGTTCTTAATATTTAATGACGATTCATAAATGTAGCATTTTTCTTTAATTAAAACGGCGCCATTTCATGAATAGAAGACGTTTATAAACGCCTTCAAATGGGTTAGGTGTCACGCGCTCCCTCCCTCTTTTCACCCTTATTTTGAATCTTCAAATCTCTCTCTCTCTCTCTCTCTCTCTCTCTCTCTCTCTCTCTCTCTCTTCTGTCTAAACCCCATTAATATCTTAGAGCCATTTCGAAACACATCGGTGATTCATTAGAGCTCCGCTGTCTCAAAATCGAAGTTCATCTCGAAATCGAAGTCGAAGTTCATTTCAGCAATTCAGATCGGTGAGCTCCACTTTCTCTCTCTCTCTCTCTCTCTCTTTGTTATCTAAACCCTAATTATCTCAGAGATTCAAATCAGTCTCAGTGAAACAGATCGGTGATTTATCAGAGCCATTTCAAACTCCTCTCTCAAAATCGAAATCGAAGTTCATCTCAGCGATTCAAATCGATGAGCTCCACTCTCTCTCTCTCTCTCTCTCTCTCTCTCTCTCTCTCTCTCTTCTCTCTTTCACACTCTCTCTTTATAGACGCATCAGATTTGGTCCACTCTCCATCAACGAATCCCGACGACGGCTCCCCGACGATGGCCCTTTGTCTCCATCATCTGAAGAGTTTTGTTTTGCAACCCTAGATCTCCAAATCCCCTTCATTGACAAAGAAAGAAAAGGTCAAAATTTATTTATTATTTTTTACGGAATAAATAATCATACATTTGTTTTAATTAAGGTTTTGTGTTGGTTTGATTTAGGTTTTTGGGGAAAACATATTTCTTCATTGTTTGCCCAAACACATGTGAATGGATTTTTTGCATTGCAAGTGTTTGATAAAATGATTCAATGAAATTATTATTTTTTAAACTAATTAAATACATGTGAAGTTAGGAGTATGTTGTAATGAATGCTCAATAGCTCTTGTGGTGGTGCACTTTATAAACTGTAGTGACTATTTTCACCCCTAAAATAGTATTACTTAGGAAATAGATGTCTTTGGTTAATATATTTTAAATTCTGATTACATTTATGCATATGTATATTTTTGTGTTCTTTAGGATTTGTGAAAATTAGTGATATGTTAAATCTATATTATATTTATAGTGATATACTTTGTTATGGTGTTGGTTTCCTTTTCCAAAATCAAAGTTTCAAATGTGGAAAAAAAAAAAATCCAGGGAGGCTTTGGTGTGCAAATGACATGTGCAATTACTTTGCGTGGTGAGTGCTTGCAAACCAACATAGAGTGGCTTGAGGCAGACCAATGAGCTAGGAAATTGTTTTTCATGACAAGCATAGTGTGTACTGATTTTAGCATTACTTTAATGCTTAAATGATTGTTGTATGCTTAAGTGATTTTAGCATAGTTTTTTAAAGTATGATTTGTAAGGTTATAAGATGTTTGAACTCAATGTAATAAGATGATATCTTGTTATTAATTGAATGATATGTCTTCAGATGCCACGCCATCTTTCCCTTGTTATTATTTGATGTTGCATTTGGACATTGAACTAATTTGGAGGACAAAGGGTTGTTTGTTTCAAACTTGGAAGTTGTATGGGCATAAAAACTTAGTGTTCTTCTAATGTCTTTAACTTGCAAATGGAGCCACAAGTCTCCTTGGGTTGTGAATCATGCCTCCATCCTGAGAAAGTCCAAATTAAGGATGGTGATTATGGTGTAACTGTATCCTTTCAAAACCATGATGTACAGCAGCCAGGTAATATTTTGTGCTTGTCATTTCAAAGTTTCTAATCATTTGTCTCAATTAAGGTGCTTTTTCATTTTTGTCGTAGTCCTCCAATATTCTTTTAAAGTATGTTATTTTGATTCATCCACTGCAAACTCTCTACATTTGAAGAGCATAACAGTATCTCCAATAATGTTTTTTAAATTTTTTCTATAATAGGGAAGATATTTAATTTTTTTTATGAAAAAAATAGGGACTTATTTTTTTAATTCTATCATACATGTAGATAGGGAGTCTGTTAGAGTGAATTTTGAAGATATATCTTATTTTTTTTAATTGCCTCTGCCTAGTTGTTTTTTGCCTGTATTTTTGAATAATGATAGGTAGTATGTCCAGTGTATGTGTAAAATATGTTGTCTATCATTGTTTCTGTTAACTATTTTTGTCTTGATGATGGCCAAGATTTTTGTAACTTCTATACTTGGCTAGAGTGTGATTGGAAGTAGATGTGGAGGCATATTATGATAGTGACATTAGTTTATTGAATGTGAGCATGCCCAATCACTGACTCTGCCATTATTTGAACCATTTATCAATTTGTGCCAGTTAGCTCCAAGGCCCAATATGAGAATCTAAGTTCATTTTGTTTTTTGTAGTTCCTTGCTATTCAAATGTTAAGAGGAGACACGGTGCCTCACCCTCAGTCATCGTCATATGTGGTGGCCTTGCCGATATGGCAGCTGCTCAGGCCTTTCATGATGCTTCATTTCAGGTATTTGTTTTAGTTATTTGTGTGTCTCTGTGTGATACAATAAACTGGAATTTATTTATAATAGTGAACTGTTCTGGATTCAATGTTGTGGTGCTTCAATACAGTTGATAGTGAACTATTTTGGATTCAGTTCTCTTATTTTTGTTAAAGGTCACACATTGGTATTTCATTAATATATGATCAATGTTCAAACTACTAGTATTCTATAAAACAATTACAATGGGGAACATTCAATTTTTTGCTCTTCCCCTTCATCGTTTCTGCACAAGTGTATGTTTGTGTATAGCATTGATCTTGAGATATTCATTTTTTCTAAGGATTCCTTACTGCCGAATGCAGCATGGAGGTACCTGCATAGAAAAAGATTCCTGCAAATAAAGAAACAAAGCTTCCCTACTGCAGTTCACTCTATTGTGGTACATTTTTTGCTAATTTTAAACATTTATTAGATCTTCTTCTACCTTTCACAAACTATCACAAGATTCATGCATTAAAAAAATGGGTTTATTGTAAATGATATCTTATAATCTTTGATTATGTAGCAATCAAATTTGTTCTTTTGTATTAAAAAAGTCCATTTATCAAAATATTGGTTAGCCTCTATCAAAGTCCATGTAAATGTAATTAATGTTTCTAATATTTCGGATATTTGAATGTGTGGGTTATCAGAGACCAGTGAGGAAAATGAAGATGAAACTCTTGCCTTAGTGAAAGCAACAAAGAAGGCTCTTCAGGTGAGCGACAAAGACCCTAAATCTATAATCAAGGGAACAGCTAATTCTGGGGCAGAGTATCTTGCATCTCGATCTTATCACGGTCTTGACATTCAAAGCAACAGTTCCTTAATGCTTCACTCTTTTATCTCGATCTTATTTATATTGGTTCGATTTTCACTCTCTTATTGTTCTTAATGCTTGAAATGGTTTGTTTATTTTTTTATTTTTTTCTTGTTGCTACAATTCTTGTTCCTTCAATTGATATTAGTGCTCAGTGGAAGACTTGGAGACTGCTGCAAAGTTGTATATTTCTTATTGGTTAGAACTGGCAACTGCTCCATATGGTTCACCCCTGGATGCCACAAAAATGTTTTGGCTTGTAGCCCTTCCTTGTAAAAGTCACTTTAAAGCCGTAGCTAAGATGAGAGCCTTGAAGGTTGTAATTGTTAAAACAACTTATCAGGTTCTGTGCAAATTTTTTAGCAAATCACCTCTTTAAAATGTTGTTCATCTCACACTAATGAGAGCTACTCTTGAAGTTTAAGTAATTTGACTTCTTGACCATTTTGATTTCTATTGATATATTTAAAGTCTAAACATAAATTGTTTTTATTCTTGGATATGCAATGCATTGTTTCTTATTTTTAATTTTGTTTCCAAGCTTAGTTTATTTATTATTTTAATAAACATCAACTATTAGTTCTTAATAATTGTTTATGGCAAGTATTTTTTTAGTTCAACTATATAAAATTAGCACAATTTTAAATATAAAAAAAGGGCTATGGCGGCGTTTTTTAAATGTCACTATATCCTAGCCCCAATGGCTAGATTTTTAAAATGTATAAATGTCTATGATGGCGTTTTTCAAACATCGCTAAAATATCATGTGACGTCATCTTACTGTTATGTAGAATTTATAGCAACGTTTTTAAAGCATCATAAGGTTATAGTGACGCCTGCATCTTCGACGTTTGGTGCTAAACATCTCAAAAAGATTTGACGACGTTTTTGAGACCTATAGTGGCGTTTTTTAAACACCTCTAAAACCTCTATTTCCAGCAATGCGTGAACATGCAATGGAGCGCCTTGCGAAAGTCGATGTTAGATATCGATTCATGATTGATGTATAGAATACATTAAAGGCAGCCTAATCTTCTATCCTTGGCTTTTGAATTTCACATTTTTTCTAGGTGTGTTTTTAGGGATGGAAATATGAACCCGACCCGATAGGGACCCGAGCCACCAACCCCGACTTAAGCAGTTATTCCCCAAAAAATACCTCCGATGCGGCAGAGATGGTATTCAAAAATTAATCCCCAATGATATCCTGGCTGGGGATGGGGATACATGTCCAAACCCCGGACACGACCCAGCCCCGGCCCCGGCCCCGGCCCCGCCCTGTTTAGCCTCTAACTTAAAATTACCATTATGCCCCTAGATATATATATGTATGTGTGTGTTTGTTTAGGGTTTGACATACACTCTCAGTCTCTCACTCACACACACAGGCAGAAGCACAATGGCGCTGGTCCTCTCTCTCTCTCGCTCGCCACTATGTTGTTTACGGTTTCGTCTCCCCCTCTCTCTTTCTCTCACCATCGATCTTCCTCACCACCTCTGCTGTTTAGGGTTTTGCCTCCCTCTCTCTCTCTCTCCCTCTCTCACACACACACTCACACACGACAAGGCTGCTGCTCTCTTTATTCCCTTACCGCTGCTCCTCCCTCACCACCGATCCTCCCTCACCTCACCGTCGATTTTGAAAGTGTATATATATATCTCTCTCTCTCTCTCTAGGGATTTCAATTTAGGGTTTACATACATATATATATATATATATATGTATACAAATTGTGATCTAGGGATTTCAGTGAGTGTATACATATCTGAGTATATATATATCGACCTCTGTTTTTCTTCTTTTTCTTCTTCTTTTTTTTTCCCCTCTAAATTTATTATATGTGTGTGTGTGTGTGTGTGTGTGTGTGTGTGTGTCAAAAAGCGCGAATTTGATTATGCATGTATGATCTGTTATTTGTTTTTTCTGATTATGAATATATGAATGTATGATCTGTAATTTTTTATAATAGATAACTGATTATGAATGTATGATTTGTTTTTTCATATATCTGATTATGAATGTATGATTTGTTATTTGTTTTTTCTTTTTCATTGTACATGTATTAATGATCTGTTTTTTAATGTATGATATGTTTTGTCATTGATATGTAATGCATGATCTGTTTTTTTTTTTTTTAATTATGACCTGAGGCTGAATATGAATCTGTGTTGTTATATATATATATATGAAAGAATGTGTATATATGAAAGAATGTGACTCTGTGTTGTTATATATATATATATATATATGAAAGGGGTATTTGATGTACTGTTAAAAAATCAGTTCATACACATTGCAAGAGTTTCCTACTTGCTCTACAACCATAGCCTTTTATCTTTGCAGAAGCGCACGTGCAATGGACATGAAGGGTTTTTTATTTTTTACTTTCATATTTTAAGTAGGTTTAAAGGACCACATATTTCATAACAACATATTTGTCATTACATAGATACATCTTTGTAATAAAAATTTATTATATAATATAGTTATTATTTTTGGAACACTGTTGTGATGTTTTAGTATAGACCTCATTAAGTAGTTAAAACTAAATGTGTATTACATAGGTGATACATGTTTTAATATAGACCATAATAAGGGGATACTCAACCATCGATCAAATTTTATGTGTTTTTTAGTGTTCAATCGATCAACCTCCATCAAAATAAGAGAAAATGACATAACAAAGGGAGGGGAAAGGGGGGGGGAAGGCTTCAAATACAGTGATATTTGATTTAATGAGCCTTACAATTCATGTTTATTTTCAATGGAATCGAAACACATCACATCATAAATAAAATATATCATTATATTGTAGATGTAATTATAGGTATTCCATTAGGATATTTGGATGTGATTAGTGTTTACATTATAATGGGTAACCTCTGTTTATTCATTTCATATTATTTTTGTAAAGGTTAAAAATGTTAGAAGTTAACTCTCAAGTACCAATTAACTCTCAAGTACCATTTGAGAGGGAGGCATCACAACAATCATTGCCAACTACCAACTCACTGTCTCCCCTCTCTAATCAAAATGTTATTGACTTAGAAGAAGAGTCTAATACTTGTGGATGAACTAAAAGGAAAACTAGTGTTGTGTGGGAACACTTTAAGAAACAAGTCAATGGGGTGTGGAATGCAATATGTAATTATTGTAATAAGCATCTTGGAGGTGATTCAAAAAATGGAACTAGGCATTTGCATGATCACTTTAAGAGTTGTACTAGGAAGAAAGTGTTGGACATGAGGCAAAAAGTTTTAACTAACAACTTTAATAGAGAGAGTCCAAAAATGAATTCTTATATTTTTTATCAAGATTTTTCAAAGAAAGAGTTGTCACATGCCATAATATTGCATGAATATCCCCTCTCTATCGTAGATCATGTTGGTTTTAAACGATATTCAGCCGCACTTCAACCATTGTTTAAAGGACCTTCTCGAAATACGATAAAGAGTGAGATTTTAAAATTTTATGATTATGAGAGGGTGAAAACATTGAGTTTGGTGGAGCATATTAAAAGTAGGGTGGCAATCACAACTGATATGTGGACTGCTAACAATCAAAAGAAAGGATTCATGGCTGTCACTGCACACTTTATTGATGATTCATGGACATTGCAAAGTCGCATTTTGAAGTAAATTTGCATTGAGTTTGTAAACTTGCAAATCATTTAAAAGTTCTATCTTATTCAGTTCAATTTGCATATTATTAATACTTGTTCATGAATATTATATTTTAGGTTTGTTTATGTTCCATGTCCACGCACAAAAGAAGTTCTTTGTGATACTTTGCTTGCATGTATGATGGATTGGAATATTGATAGAAAAATCTCTACTATTACTGTTGATAATTGCTCCACAAATAATGACTGTAACGCCCTCAAAATAACAACAATAAACCCATCAGATAAGACATGCATTTACATATAAACTAACCACATTCTTTTATTCATTAGAGTTCCATTACATAAGTATTACATGTTAACATCAAAACAAAATGCCCTACGGGCTTACAGCTTTCCAAGTTAACACTTGGTTACAACAAAAGAGTACTAACTCGTTTACACATTAAGCCCTTGGCTTGAAGTTACATGTAATACATCAAAAGTAAAATAGAAATGAAATAGAGCACAAAAAGGGTGTTTTTAGGGGATGTTTGTCCTCTCTGTCTCTCCTTATCATTAAACGGATCAAAGGAGGGGTAGGCTCGATTCGTAAATCATCAATCGACGCAAACTCGTTGCATGATGATCTATGAATCAAGGGACAAAAGGTTAATATATGAAGCTAAAAGACCAACAAAAACCTCTCCCTATCATGATATTGATCAAGGGAAGTGGTTGACTTGATATTTTGAACCATTATCATCACAAGAGAGTATGAAA